TGTTTGTTCTACAACAACCGCCGAAGTTTTTTCAATCTTCATATTACAATTTTTTAAAGTTTACATTTGCTACAGCCAGTACTCAAAACATTTGACAAAAAACGCGCTATTTATCGTCTAATCTGAATTCAATATAAGTACGTAACATAAGGAAAATTTGGCTCACGAATAGGGTTTTCGTGTAGAGGAAAACTCAAATAATAATAATAATCTGTAAAAGTTATTCTGTTCAGGTTTGCACTGGCGGTTCTGGAAAGGTTTCCACCCTATCACGTCCCGAATACGTGGATTTTCCCTCCCCTGCTTCACGCTCAATACATTTTCGCCATTCTTTGATAAGTACTTTGCCAGTTTGTGCATTACGCAGGGCTCTATTAGATAATGCATTCGCTAGGACACAAAACACTCTCAATTTTCCCCTGAACATTAATTATCTTTGATGAGATCGGATTTTCTAAACTTTTAAAACAATGACTTTGAGAAATACAATCTACACATCAAATTAATAATAAATTATATTGTAATATAAATGCAAACCAAAAGAAACTTCCCCTTCTGTTCATTCGTTTCGTCGAATAGTTGAATTTGTTAAAATCAATTATTAATCAAAATCAAACTAAAAACAGTGTAACCCCCTGTTTTACAGACAACTTGAAAAGGGCTGTTTAAAATTTGAAACATAAGCCTCCCTCTTTCTACTAGTCTGTTCACTGTTTGTTTTTGAACGTTCATGTATTGTATACAGCGGCGTGTCCCCCTTTGTCGGTACAGTATTAAGGGCAAATGTCGGACCTACCCCTACTGATCAAAGTGTGTATGACGAACCTAAAAGTACAACAGTATAGTACATGCGCCCTCTCATTGATTTTGCCATCGAGACGCCAGACGGACATATTTTCACCACCGTCAACCAAAATTAAATAGGACTTAGTGTTAGAGTTTAGTGATTTTTTTTTGTACAGAGTGACGTTGTGATGTGGCTTATTGAATATTTTTTCGTGTCGGACTTCGAACTTCAGATCAAGAGGTTAAATTCACATTTTGATGGTAGGAATATCACAAGAGTCTTTTCCTTTTGTTTATTTGTTAGATAATCCTTAACTGGATTAAATATACTCAAACAATAATTAAGCTAGTAAAAAATTAATTGCTAATTGGTGAGATTTCTTTCTAAGAGATGAATTCAAAAGAATCGTGGTTTTCGTTGTTTGGATGCTTAGTGAATTATTTGGTGTTTTTAGTGCTGGTTTGGTTCCTCCAGGCTTCACGGTGTTGACAGGACAGACTGTTAGAAGGGGGCGATCCGAAGAAACTCCGCCGCCCCCTCCGGCACCCCGAGTTTCATCCAGGTCAAAAGGTACTTCCACGGGAAGCCAAGTTCAAGAGAGCAAGCATGGGCAGTGGAAGAGGTATTTACAAATTGTCATCTAGTTCGCGTTAACAGAACTCCTTCGATACTTATTTTCGTTGGATATTTGATGGGTAAAGGAAGTGTACCTAGTAGTAACGCGTTTACAGGTACATGGACACGCCAGGTATGGGAAGTCCTCCCCCGCCAGCTCCTTCGAGTCCAACGTCGGGACGAAAAGAAAAGAGAAGCAGTCCCCACGGAAGTAGCAAAGAAAAAAGTTCAAAAGTGAGAGGTATACCACAAAATTTCGGCTATGTCAAGAAAACAAACGGATCGTCCGCCACACACAATCCGAACGGACCCAACTGCACACCAAACGGGAATGCGCTTCTTCATACAGGTACAAGATCCCTCTTCAACCAATTAAAATTGTACGATTGTAATTTTTTTTCTGCTCAGGTTTATCTAGTCCGTCTAACAAACCCACCCAGGTTTCTGTTGTTCCTAGAACGAAAGTTAAAGTTTCTGGAGGGACCCAAACGTGCTCCAGTGATCTCCAGGAATCTCACAGTAAGTCCACATATTCTCCTCTACAGTTGCAGTTACTATCCCCTGCCCTTTTTCGTAGAAGCGAATCCCCAATACAAAAGTTACTCCCTAACTGGAAACACAGCCACTCAATTGAGCCAATCTGTAAGGGAAAGACTGCTGATGGGATCACAAAGTTTACCAAAGGGCTCAGTCGCAGTACCAGATCCTGGACTAATATTACGACAAGCCAGGCCCAAAGTTAGTGACGGTTCCCTTTCAGACACCCAAGCCTTGGATGGTCCGGGACCTTATACTCCGTGGTTGAGGCATAGGTAACTTCATTTCCACGAGATACGGTTCATGTTTTTTAAAAAAATCACACCCACGTTATAGTAACACGTATTCAGTTGCCCCAAGATTATCGGAAACCGACAGTTTAGAAAGTTTATCCAGTTTACCGGGTCACAGGGGAAGTCTGACCCATGCGAGGCTATTGAGGGACTCTCCGTCCAGGCTCAGTCGCAGCAACAGCATAAGGTAAACCGAAATTTTATTTATGCTTTTACAAATTTTTATCATCAGCTTCTACACGCTATTGTGTTTGGTTTTGTCACCGCTTCTCCTGGCACTGTCTACTCACATTACAGGTCAACTAAATCTGAAAAATTGTATCCGTCAATGCTTCACAGGAACGTGGAGCCGGAAATAGAACCTTACTACTGTTTACCAGTCGGGGCTGTCACCAGTCACTGGTCACAACCCACAAGTCCCGCCCCAAGTTCAACCAGAACCTTTCCACTGTCTCCGACGCACTCTACCCCCAGGCACAGTATCCCAAAGAACGACGACGGTAAATATAATCGCGAAAGACGATTGACCCTTTTTGTACTGTCTATGATGCAATTTCAGTGCACGGCTCTTCCGTCAGTTTGGTTTCGACGACGTCAAGTTTGTACTCGTCCGCGGAAGAAAAACAGGCCCACGAAATCAGGAAGCTCAGGAAGGAGCTGATTGATGCACAAGAGAAAGTTCACACCCTCACGTCCCAACTTAGTACAAATGTAAGTCAAATCAGATGGAGATGTTGTTAGATATATGTCGAGTTTTCTTCCTTCAGGCACATGTCGTAGCGGCTTTCGAACAGAGTCTTACATCGATGACCCAGAGGCTTCAACATTTGACCGCAACGTCGGAAAAAAAGGTTCAGTTGTTTGCAATACAAAAAGTTATTGCTTTAATGTTTACGTCCGAGTTTTTTAGGATTCAGAACTGGCGGAATTGCGAGCAGCAATGGACTCCCTCAGAGCCCAAACGATTCAAGCAGGATTCGGGAAAGTGAACTCGAGCAGTTCCGGTTTATCCAGACAACTCTCTTCCGACAGTGTGTCCAGCATTTCGTCAGCTTGTAGCATAGAGAGACACGAAAAGAAAAAGAAAAAGGGATGGGTAATACAGTAAACGTTCCATCTCTTGGCAAACTTTCGTCTCAATTTATCGTTTCAGCTGAGGAGCTCGTTCACAAAGGCGTTCTCAAGGAACGCAAAGGTCACCAAAGTGACGACCCAAACGGAATCTGAAACTGAAAGGTCCCATTCAAGTCCTCCTCCATCCGTTCCTCCTCCTCAAGCACCGATCGATACGGGAGCCGAAGTTGCAGAACTACAAAAACAGTTGCGTGAAAAAGACCTGGTCTTAACCGACATCCGTCTGGAGGCTCTAAGTTCTGCACATCAGCTAGAAAGTCTCAAGGACACCGTAATGAAAATGAGGGTTGGTATCAGTGAGATGTTTCCTCGAAAATTCGCCTAAATTTTTCCGTTTATTTCTAGAGTGAGATGCTATCGTTGAAGCAAAACAACGAGAGACTCCAAAGACTTGTCGGGGGATCCGCTAATGTGCCCCCAGATGTCACGAACAGTGGAAGTATGGACCCCATAGCGGACCTCATTCCTTTAGAAGAGCCCCCTCCTGAACTGGAATCGGATGGGAAACGTATAACAATATCGGTTTACCTAGGTCAACCTCAAACCTTTGACAAGTATGGATGATATATGTGAAATAACGGCATTTTTTTTAAGTACCTACACGAATTTTTGTTTCAAAGGTACTATTCGGACCACTATGGGAACGACAAGAGCGAATTCTCGTCGGCTGAAATTCCGATATCCCATACATCCATCGGTGCGTCAACTTCCTGGGTCCAATTGGACAACAGCGTCAGAAGAGCATTCAAGCAACACTTGGCGAGGTTAGATCCTGGTGGAGGTCTAGGTTTAGGTAAATACATCAAAGGAACTTCTTTCTTTCTACTTTTGCCTTTCAATTTCTCGAATTATCTTACAGGCGGAGACGCGATACTGAGTTACAAACTGGGGGACGCAGAGAGACGATGCGACACGTCAGCTCCTGATCTTCTACCTGTAGGATACGTTGTCGGGAACGTGACCAGTCTTCATATAGTCCTTCAGCCATTAGCTGCCCTCAGTTTCGAAGCCCTCATACCAAAAGGTGTCGCCCAGAGACTCGTCTCTCTCCTGACGGAACACAGAAGGATAGTGTTTTGCGGGGCTCCCGGAACTGGCAAGACGTATCTTGCTACAAGACTGGCAGAATTCCACGCCCAGGCCATGGGCAGGGATCCAACAGAGGCTGTAGCAACTTTCAATTGCGATAATAAGTCGGGAAAAGAACTGCGCCAGTACTTGTCCCATTTGAACGAACAGGCAACCTCAGGAGATAACAACGACTTCCCTTGCGTCGTCATCCTGGACAACTTACACAAAGCAGGTCCGTTCCCGGACGCTCTGGGATCGCTGTCTCGAAGTTTGCCATGTCTTCTAGGTAGGATTCTAAGGAAAAATGTAATACTAGTATTTAAAATTATCGTACTATCAGGTACAATGGCCCAGTCAGCGTGTTCAGCGACGAGTCTTCAACTTCAGCACGGGTTCCGATGGGTCCTGGTCGCACCCCACATGGAACCGGCTAGGGGACTCCTTGGCAGGGTCTTGAGGAGGCGTCTAGCGACTGTGGAATTGGAGCAAGGGCCACAAACTGAACTAGCAGCAGTATTAGGATGGTTGCCAAGGGTCTGGCAACATCTAAACGCGTTCCTCGAAACCCACAGTTCGGGAGACGTGGCAATTGGACCAAGATTGTTCCTGGGTAAGTGATATTAATGATCTAGGAAAGGAAAATTCTCATGTGTTGCTTAAGGATGCCCGCTGGAGCTGGACGCTGCCAGAGCATGGTTTGCTGACGTCTGGAACTACTCTTTAGCCCCGTACCTTCGGGAAGCCGCCAGAGAAGGGTTGCAACTATACGGGAAGAGATCTGCCTGGATCGATCCGTTGAAATTCATCCTGGACACTTATCCTTGGCCCGGTGCCTCACCACAAGGACTCACGAGCATTTCGGCGAGGGACGTAGGCTTGGAAATCAGTTCCAGTGCTCAATCCGAGAACGAAGGCGACCCTCTACTGAATATGATAATGAGACTTCAGGAAGCAGCCAACTGTTCAAGTCCGCATTCGAACGACTCGAAAAACAACACGATAGACAACACTTTAACACAAAACAACCGCGTCGACAACAAGAATAGTTTATAATAATTATTGTTTTATTTTATTTATTTATTTATTTTATTTTGGTGCTATATGTTGAACGTAAGTAAATAAAAAGAAAGTTTTGTACGTTTATTGAAACCATCAGCATTTAGTCATACGTCGTTACCCCACAAGAGCAAGTACCTAAAATAAAAAATTTAATTTAGCCACTTTATGATTTTCTAATAGGCCTTGTAAGAAATTCTGTTGAAATTTTATAATTCCATCGCCAAGGAAATACAGGTAATTATAAATTTGTTCTACCTTTGACTTCAAATGGACATTACTCCTCGAAATAATTATTATTTTACCCCTTTGGGTCTATGAAGCGAGGATGCAAAATACATTTTAAAAAAAAGAACTTACTGTTGTCACATCTCGTAGCTTTGTGTTCAACGCGTTGATGCATAAAGCCAAAGGTCCCAGGTTCGACTCCCGGCGAGGGTACGACAACAATAACGGTTTTTTCTCATTAATTTCAGATAATTTACAATGGATTTTCACATTAATATTTAAGCAGTGTGAGTTCAAGATTCATCGGCAGGTGTAATTCCGCAAAATAAAGTAAATACTTAATCAATAACCAGAATATGACGTAAAAAAGTGAGTATTTGAGGATTTCAAATGTAATAATAAATACAAAGAAATTTTAATAGATAATGATTTTTGAAAAAATATTAGTATGATACAATATTTATACTTAAATACAATACTTAAATGCAAGTGATAATACATTATCTATAAATCTATTCTTTTTCCTCGGTTGTCTCTATTTGTGGACAAATTAGCTTTTCTCTAGAAAAGGATAGTCTGAAAAATATAAAGATATTCAATTACCGCTTCACCCTCTTATTTATGATATCACTTACTAGGATTGCTTTTCGTCATTAATTCTAGCAATCTTGCGTTGCATGTTATTAAGTGACATATTGTTGGTTGGTAATTGGTGCCACACGTGCAAACATTGCAATTGTTATACACAGACATTCCAGGTTCACATAGTTTTACAACCGGCAGGTCAAAATCAACACCTAACACACACTGCGAATTAGTTAGATCGAATTTTCATCATACATGTGATAAGTGATTGTCGGGATGTGTTTGAAATAGAAGATTCAAAATACGAGACCTGTTTCTTATACTAATAAATTTAATCAATTTTGACTTTCGTTTATAAGGATTGTATTAAAGACAGTACAACTGTAGGGATAGATATACAGGGGCAAATGATTAGTATGCTTAGATTTGCAGATGATATAGCAGTATTGGCATCTATCAAGGAGAAGTTAGAGATAGCTTTAAAGTGTAAGCGATACTGACAAAACAGTACGAAAAATTAGAAGAAGTGGCCGATTTTAGGTATCTAGGAAGTCAGATAAGTCAGGACGGAAGGATTAGTACGGATATAAAGCAGAGGATAGCGCAGGGTTGAGTCGCCTTCAATAAAAAGAAGTCACTTCTATGCTCGTGAACGGTTAATTTAGAAATTCAAAAAAGATTGTTAAAGGTGTATGTTTGGAGCGCGGCGCTTTACGGGTGCGAAACATGGACGGTGGGTGCGACGGAAAAGAAAAGGTTAGAAGCGTTCGAAATGTGGTGTTACAGGCGAATGATGAGGATACCGTGGATAGAGAAGGTTAGAAATGAAGAGGCATTAGAAGGAATAGGAGAACAGAGGACAGAAATAGAAATAATTAACGATGAGGGTTGTTCTAGTTTTAGGGAATTGCGAAGATTAGCTCAGGATATATAGGAAAGAGTGGAGGTGCGTGTCCAACCAGTCTTGGGACTGACGACCTTATGATGATGATGAATCGGTATTTAAAATCGCAAATAAGAATGTGTACTTTGCATTTTCGAATTTTAAGAATGGGCCGAAAAAGATTACCATATTTGTTCACGGTCGTCCCATCGTTCCATTTGCATCTGTTTTCCGTACAAACGAGAGCTTTACCATTTTTAACACAACTGCATTCGGCACACGTCATCTTTGAATCCTTGTACGTCGGATCTTTTCGTTTGGGGTCGCAAGCCGTGGCTTTGTTTCGTTAAGAATTAAAAATTATTTATTTTAATAGGCTTCTCATATATACTTAAATTTTACCTTTGCTTTCGACCGCAGGTATAATACACTGTCCGAAATATGTGATTGAGAACAAAACTACCATCGGGAATTTGTACATGGCCGTTCGACTTAATATGGGCCAAAAGTGTTGAGGATATTAAAGTTCTAAATTACAGTAATTGAAATATATAGACGAGCGTACACCCTCACGTTAAGTTAATGTTTGTTAACATTCACTTTCAATTTTATTACATTAGATAGGTAGTTATTATGCAAAATGTTTATTTGCCCACATGATAATAAACAATATCGATCAACTAAGCGTTACTGCAACACGCTGCCTTTTGTATTTTAAAGCATTAAAAATTATTCGACAATGTACCTGCATTATGTTTATTTTACAATTAGTTACAAACGATACATTCGAATTTTACCTTTTACAGGACTTATAAAACCATGTCCGTGCTGTCAGCAGTTCATGCATTGCAAATTGATTATTGAACATCGTTCAAAAGTGTTGCAGTTTTTAATAGTTATTGTAGGTGATTGTAGAGTAAATAAAAAAATAATTGTACGCCCTCACGTCTAGTTAATGTTATATATTTTATTAAGTTAAGTACTTAACATAACAAAATGTTTATTTATGCATAGAATAGCAAAGAATATCAGTCAATTAGGCGTTGTTGCGTATTAGAAAAAGCGTCAAATTGCCTGTTGATTCCAGTTAATCATAGCTGGTCACTTCAATAAGCTCGAGGAAGACAAAAGTTTAACTCACGGAGGTCAAAGCTGTAAATCGAACATCAGCGTCCAAACCACAGCAATTACATCCTACCGTACTGCAATAAGAAAGTTATCGCAAACAATGCAGATAGATTCATGAATGCGTTTAAATCATTATATGTGTACGAAAATTTAATGTATTGTTAAAAAATTATTTATTTGAGAAAACAAACGAAGTTAAACGGCAAATGTCTTTTATTAAGTTTTCATAAGACTATTCTCTCCGTTTAATCCCATTTCATGTTCTCTTTTCAGCCCTCATTAGAAAAGACTGATTAATTTCCTAATCAATGGATTAGATATTTTACAAGTTTTTTTAATAACGTTTTTATTTCGGTTTGAACAAACTGCCTCACATGGGATTCAAATTAAAAACGACTGAGCACCTTGAAACTTGCCCCAATAACGTTCAATGAAATGTGTAGAAAAAAATATTTGTATGTCTTACTAGGTTTTGCCGACGGCTTGTTCTAAATACATGTCAAAGATCATTGATGACCACATAAAACAATTTTTTCTGTACCTAGGGTGAACAATTTTTCGTGTGTATCCAACCAGTCTTAGGACTGACGACCTTATGATGATGACCGCGTATTTTTCTGTACCCCTGACAATAAGTGTACAAAAATTGAAATGGTAGATACCAACAAACTCGCATTGCATTTATAATACTAGTGTAGGATTTTATGTATTTATCTACAGATTATATTTTATTTGCAACTGGAATTGACAAAACCACTGGGCATTCCACCCTTTTTAAAATATTTCAATGGACTAATTTTTTGCACCTACTTTGGAAAGGTATATACCTAAATAATAAATATAGAAATGATTACTCTACATTTAAGTGTTTGTGGTCACTTTGGTTTAGTTTGTCTAGCGGCAATTATCATTCAAAAAACTTTTTTTTATTTATGAAGTCTTAAAAAACTATCTCCCCCATCTTCTACTATCTAATTCTATTATGTAGAATGACTAGAAATCTATGAAAAAAATTTTGGAGTGATTTCGGTCTGGAGCCCCAATGCTAGAAAATTACCCCTACTCTCTCGAATACCTCCCCATTTCTAACCTTCTTTTTCCACGGTATCCTCGTCATTCCCTTGTAACACCTCATTTCGAACGCTTCTAACCTTTTCTTTTCGACCGTCCATGTTTTGCACCCGTACAGCGTCGCGCTCCAAACATGTACCTTTAACAACCTTTTTGGTTTTTATAAATTAATCCATCTTTTTATTGAAGGCTAATCCTTTGTTTAAAGTTTATCTAAGTACCTAATTATAAATCAAAACACTTAACAATTGCTTCAATAGGGCAAAACAATTGTTTAAGTGTTTTACAATAAAATTTGTGGAAATTAACAGCGAGTTTTATTTATAAAAGTGTACTGCGAGTTTCCGTCAAGTAAACTTACAATTAGATACCGTTAATCGTGCTAATACAATTATCTAAGAGCTCATAAGATAATTTCGCAAATGTGTGACAAAACAATGGTGTTCAAATAATAAATCATAATATTGTATATCCTTTTTCATTTTGGTTGCAATCTTTGAACCGTAATTAGCAAGATGTGTACCGGAAGAAACATAAGACGGAACATTGTCCATATAGGAACTATAGCTTTATCGGAAGCACTTGCTACTTGCATATTGGTGTTTATCACTTGCTTAGGAAGCGTTCCCAACATGGCATTGGAGACAATCGGCATTGTTCAAGCCGCTATTACAAGCGGAATGGCTGTTATGATTGCAATTTTCGTAAGTGTAATTTTTTGAAACCAATTTTTTTAAGTACTTTCTTGAAGTACATCATTGTCATAATCATAATCCTAAGGTTGGTTGAACACGCATCTCCACTTTTTTCCTATCCTGAGCTAATCTTCGCATATCTTTTTGACTTTTTGACAAAAAAGAATATATTAAAGTTACTGCAAATAGTTCAATTCATAATCCACTTGAAGTAATAGTCTCCGTTCTCCTAATCTATCTAATATCTCATAATTTTTAACCATCTCTATCGTCATCGTTATGGAAGAACAACCGGACGGGGAGGTAGGAATGCCATACCAAGAAGGAAACAACGCTATTAGTATAGTAGAATCATGGGAAAGCAAAAATGGGACACCTGGGCAGCAACTCCGGGACACAGATGGTCCAAGGAGCTGCTCGGGAAGTACATAAATAGCCGGAACATGGAGCTAAAGAAAATGAAGAGGAACGAGGCGCGTCTTATCCTGGGATTGTTTACTGGGCACAGCGAGCTTAGGTGCTACACCCACAAATGGGGATACAATGGTCTGACGACTCGGTGTCCCTGAGCATTTTTGCACAGTGTCTCACAGTCATCAATATCATCATCATAAGGTCATCAGTCCTAAGACTGGTTGGACACGTACCTTCACTCTTTCCTATCCTGAGCTAAACTTCGCATTTCCCTAAAACTAGAACAGCCCACATCCTTAACTATTTGCGAACAGTAATCTAATCTAGGTCTACCTCTACCCCTCCTAACTCCTGTTTCTGCCTCTAATATGTCTCTGACTAGACCTTCATGCCTGAGAAGGTGTCCTACCAACCTATCTCGCCTATTTTTTATTGACTTCCATAGAGTCCTCTGTTCTCCTATTCTTTCCAATACCTCTTCATTTCTAACCTTTTCTACCCACGATATCCTCATCATCCGCCTATAACACCACATTTCGAACGCTTCTAACCTTTTCTTTTCCGCCGCTCCCACTGTCCATGTTTCGCACCCGTACAACGCCGTGCTCCAAACATACACCTTTAACAACCTTTTTCGAATTTCTAAATTAACCGTTCGCGAGCATAGAAGTGACTTCTTTTTATTAAAGGCGACACGACCCTGCGCTATCCTCTGCTTTATATCCCTACTACTCCTTCCATCCTCACTTATCTGACTTCCTAGGTATCTAAAATCAGCCACTTCTTCTAATTTTTCGTCTCCTATCTTTATATTCGCTCTTTCCCTACTTTTTCTTCCCTTGCATATCAGTATTTTAGTTTTACTTTTATTTATTTTCATACAGTACTGATCTGTCAGTACCGCTTCCATTTTATTTAAAGCTATCTCTAGGTCCTCCTTGCTAGATGCTAATACTGCTATATCATCTGCAAATCTAAGCATACTAATCTTTTGCCCTTGCACATCTATCCCTACAGTTGTACTGTCTTTAATGATGTTGATGGCGTCTTCGATGTATAGATTAAAAAGTAGCGGTGACAGTGTGCATCCCTGCCTGACTCCCTTCCTAATATTTACTTCTCTACGTTGCATCCCCAGCTCTATAACTGCCTGTTGCTCTTTATACAAACTAAGTATCACTCTTCTATCTTTGTAATTCATCCCTACATTTTTTTTTTCATCAATAATAATAATCGTCATCGTTAGCCTGTAACTGTTTCTTTTGTTAAACTGCAGATTTTTGGTCACATTTCGGGAGCCCATGTAAATCCTTCCGTTTCCCTAGCCGCTGTAATTTGCGGCCATCTAAGACTCACAATGTGCGTTGTGTACATTGTTTCCCAATTAATTGGATCGTCCATTGGTTACGGCTTAATAAGAGTGGGCATATAATTATAATTAAATAATCGTTTAATAACAATTTCGTTCTGTTTCACAGGCTATTACACCTTATTATTACATCGAAATGGACATGTCGGTGTGCGTCAACAGCGTGTCGAATAGCATAACATTGGGGCAGGTATAATTATCTCGTCGAATTGTAACAGTTATAAACACCTTTTTTAAATGAAACGCACAATTTAGTTTCTTTTTGTTACCTTATTAAGATCGCGGGACGTGTGTGACTGATTAAGTGATAAAAACGGCTTAGACAGTTGCCAATAAAATTTTTAATTCAATAGGGTAATAAAAATGTATATGATTAACATCTGTAATAAGGAAATTATGACAGATTTAAGTAATTTATTAGCATATAACTACGGTCAATTTATGTCAGTACTGTTTAGAAGAATGTTTATTTGAGTAAACAAAAGACGATGATTTCAAATGGCAAATCTCTTTATCAATTTTTTGACGTGACAACGTCTTATAATTCGATGGAGCCGGTTGCACGCACGAAAAAACATGACTCATGCGGCGTTACCTCGCTCTGAGGCGTTCCATTTAAGGCTTGAAGTGCAAGCGAGAGCGCGGAACGAGCGACAAAGAGGCACAATCGGCCTCCGCGTTCGGCAGCG